AGCCTGTGCTGAGCCTGGCCCCATGCCGGGCAGTTAAGCCCCCATCCTTACCTGTGAGCTCCCACCTTGTAGGAGATGGGGCAGAGACGGCACAGGAGGGAATTCTGGAAGAGGTATGAGGCCCTTCAGCTGAGTTGACATGGGTGTGGGGGAGGGAGCATTTGTGGCAGAGAGACCAGGTGTAGAACAGAGGGGTCTCTTGGTCCCACCTCGCATCCCTGCTTGAGACAGGCTCCCAGGGCCAGAATAGCGCCACCTCACCTGCAGCTCCACATGCTTGGCACTGCCCTGTGTGCTCCGTGGGCAGGCAAGGGGCAAACGCAGACTGAAAAGGCAATTGTGAGGACGGAGGCCAGCCAGGTGCGGGGCTCTGTGCGGCCCTCACCCGCCAGCGTGCTGATCCTGGAGATCAGACCTAGGATTCAGTATTGTGCCCCATCACTAAGCAGGGCATTGGCTGGCATTGTCAAAGCCGTGCCAGCATCCTCCGTGGAGAGCACCGCGAAGTCAGGCCTGTGATTCCAGCTCAGCAGCCTCCTGACCAAGGGACAGCTGCTTGGGGGAGGCCGGAAACCTAGGGGAGGTTGGGAGGATGAAAGCGGAGCTGGGTCTCTGGTCTGCACAGAAGCACCCAGCAAGTTGGGCAGAGAGGGACTGAAGTGCCGGCACCCGGCTCCAAGTCCAGCGTGCTGCTCCCCTCTTCCTCTTTATGGCTCCTCGGTTCTCTCCAGCCCTGAGCCCTGTCCCTACACAGCTTGGCAGCCTCCTCCCCTGCTCCGGAGGCTGCATTCAGAGCTGGTGTTCCCTCCAACAGTGCATAAGAGAATTCCCCACGAGGCTGAGGAGGCTAAGGAAGCCGACGGGCTGTGGTTATCCTCACACTTGGTGCAGACGTCCTGCAGCTGGGACTCAGGGTTTGACTCAGCCTGTGTGATTTGGGGGTGGGTGTGCACAGCAGAGCCAAGGGATGTATCAGGAGAGGTGAGGGAGGGGAGGTCTGGCCCACCCTCTGCAACTCCTGCTCCAGCCTGGGCAGCTGGGCTGGGTCCTCTTGCCTCTGCTCACCCATCACATTCCAGAGACCCGGGACAGAGGCAGCCAGCTCTGAGCATGGGTGCTGGCGAGGGTGGGAGTTGGAGCTTCTCCACTTAGATGCTGTGTGGACGGCCACCTCCCTTAAGCCCCTCCTCACCCTGGAATCTTATTGGGCAGCTTCGTGTCCTTAGCAGAGTTCCCTCCACAGAGCCCTTGGCCCCGAGGCACCTCCCTGCAGCCCCCACCCTCTGTGTGCCCAGCTGGAAGGGCCCGGCTCCCGTGAGGGCTTCCTCCACGTGGTGGCCAGCAGCTCTGTTTCCTCATTTCGGTCCCCTGGGCCTGTGTGGCCACTGAGACCGTACTTTGGGTGGCCCATAGCAAGACCCACAAATAAGTGTGAGCCTGTAGCACTGAGCCCCCAAGCCGCTAGGAGACTGTTCAGTGCCACCTTCTGTGGTCAGCCCTGCTGCCCCGTGTGCATTTCTACAGCCCCCCGGGGCTCAGACTCCCCCTCTGCCAGGCCCCACCTCACTGCTCTGAACCTCAGCTTCCTCGTCTGCAGAATGGGGCTGCATGAGGATTAGAGGCGGCGGACATGAACTCTCAGCCGAGGCTTCGCACGTAGCTCACTCTAGATAGGTGGTCACTGCCGTCTTACAACGTTGGAGCATGTGAGAACCAAAGAAAACCTACACGAGAGTGTGCACGCGCCTGGTGTGTGGGAGGTACTCTTCCGTCCATGTGTACTAAGGGCGTGTGTCCCGCCTACATGAGGGTGTGCACCCCTGGTGTGTGGGAGGTACTCATCGGTCCATGTGTACTGAGTGCGTGTGTCCCACCTACATGAGGGTGTGCACCCCTGGTGTGTGGGAGGTACTCATCGGTCCATGTGTACTGAGTGCATGTGTCCCACCTACATGAGGGTGTGCACGCCTGGTGTGTGGGAGGTACTCATCGGTCCATGTGTACTGAGGGCGTGTGTCCCGCCTACATGAGGGTGTGCACCCCTGGTGTGTGGGAGGTACTCATCGGTCCATGTGTACTAAGGGCGTGTGTCCCACCTACATGAGGGTGTGCATGCCTGGTGTGTGGGAGGTACTCTTCGGTCCATGTGTACTGAGGGCGTGTGTCCCACCTACATGAGGGTGTGCACGCCTGGTGTGTGGGAGGTACTCATGGGCCCGTGTGTACTGAGGGTGCATGTCCCACCTACATGAGGGTGTGCATGCCTGGTGTGTAGGAGGTACTCTTCGGCCCACGTGTACTGAGGGCGTGTGTCCCGCCTACATGAGAGTGTGCACCTGCCTGGTGTGTGGGAGGTACTCATCGGCCTGTGTGTACTGAGGGCGTGTGTCCCACCTACATGAGAGTTTTGCACGCGCCTGGTGTATTACTCACCGGCCCATGTGTACTGAGGGCGTGTGTCCCGCCTACATGAGGGTGTGCACGTGCTTGGTGTATGGGAGGTACTCATCGGCCGGTGTGTACTGAGTGAAGTGTGTGTCCCACACTGTGCCGGGCCCCAGGGGAACCACAGGAAGCAAACCTGATGTATCTGCTGCTCTAAAAGCTGCAGCATCTGTTTCAAGAGAAGGCCCCATAGGAAGGGTGCAGGGAGCAGGTGGGGGGGGGGCGTCAGAGCTTCCGGAGAGGTCAGCAAGGACTCGCTGAGAAGAGCTTAGTGTGCTTGCTCGGAGGAATCCGAGCCCAGTGCCGTTGGCTGCTGTGTCAAAGACGCTTTCCTGTCTTATGCTTGAGTCG